TGTTTTATATACAGTCTATATACATAGGTATATATATATATGTATATGTATATACATATCCACTATATATGCATATATATGTGTATATATACTGTATGTATAGATAATCAGCGAAGTTACATATACTTATATATTCATATATTTATATGGAACATCAGCAAATAGTTATTTATATATTTACATAAATATATATACCTATATAGTATATATATGTACATACATATATGTATGTGTGTGGGTGTGTATATATATGTATATATCTACATATATTTTTGTACAGAGAAATGTGTGTGCGTGTGTTATTTGTTTATTTGTGTTCATGTGTGCATTTGTGTGTGTGTGTTTGTGTTTATCTGTGTGTACATTTGGTTGTGCGTATATGTGTGCTTGTGTGCATTTGTCTGTATTTTGTTTTTCTTTCTTTTTCGCGTTTACGTTTGTGGCAGTACACGTACACTGAAGTCTCTGACGTCACTCTCTTTATACGCAGTACTGAAAACCTCGGCTGTGGCAACATTCGAAATTCCTTTGCTTTACGTTCGGTACATATTATAGCAGACTTGATTCTACATTTGAATTCTTATTCGTGCCATATTAAGCAATGGAATAGTTAAGCAAGAAAAACACAAATTGCTTTTCTTTATGACTAATTGGCACCTCAGACATCGTTGCCTGATCCGTTCATTTTACGTTTTAGTAGGTGAATATACAACTACTGTATAATCATAACCAGAAGGAAAAACAATGTTACGAAACAATATATTAAAGTCAGATCGGTTTACTACCACCTGCTTTAGCTGAGAAAAGTCAAGATGCTCCTAGCCAAGCATAGTGACGAAATGGCGACTGAGTTAGCCAATCAGGGCGCGAGAACGGCAACACGTTTACCACAGGAGTAGAAGTGTGCGCTGAATGTGGCAGACGCACCGATACCTCCTCCAAGCATCGGCTTTCCTTTCCTCCTCTTTAAGGTAATTTGTTGCAAGAATCTACTCTATACTACTTGTGAACACCGCGGTGTACTTCCACAGTTCTTCTAAGGAGTAGGGTGTCAGTAAAGGCAAGAATGCGTGATTTTTTGTTGATGTGAAGTTTACCATGGCGAGTCAACAGATTGGTTGACTTTCCTGTAGTAGTAAGGACTCGAAACTGATTTAGATGACCTCTATATCACGCACATGTTCATGAGTAACACCAATAGAAAGGTAAAATAAACGTGTGTTGCAGCTCGCAGATTCTACAAATCTGAGGCTCAAAGCCGATGGCCATGTTTCCATGCTAGTATAGTGGTAACGTCTCGGCCTCTCATGATAGGGGTCGGCTGTTGGCGCCCCGCCCAGGCGCGAGAAGTTGCAATTGTGGCCTGGAGGTTACTGCTGTGGCTGGACACCACTGCTCATCTGAATCAGCACAAGCTGACACCCGTTTAGCGAATCGACGTTAGTCGACACAGGCAGGGCTCCCCTCATGGGCATAGCCCGGTGGCCTGGTGGCCATTTTGGTTAATTACAAACTGCTTCCAACCCTCATTGCAGTCACTTGTCTTGCGGATACGTAATGATAGCCTAAAGGAACTATACTGCGGATTAAAGCTTTAAAATAACATTCTTCAAATAATATCAAAGATAGTTTCAATTTTGTATATATGTAATATATATAAATGTAATTTATTTTTACACACACACACATATATATATATATATTATAGAAATACTTATGTGTCGATTGTACCTTAAGTTGACCATTGTAACATGTATATTCACAGGTCTATCATAGAATTGATAGAAGTGAAAGGCTGCAATCACTTATTTTCGAAGCATTTTTCGTGTAAAAGAAAAGAGGATCTTGTCCTGTGATTTTACATGTCATCTCTTATATAAGATAAATATACATATACGGTGTGTGTATGCACAAATGTATGTATGTGTTTATATATATATACATGCATTAACGAATACATAATGGATATTTATAATATTTAAATAATATAGATAGATCTTTTTCTTTCATTCTGCCTCGTTTTGAGTACTGCTCTCCTGTGAGGGTCTCTGCTTAAGACTGCTTGATCATTCTTTTAATTCCATTCAATTTCTCCTGCCTGACTTAGATTTGGACACTGGGTATCTTACACAAAATTGTATCCGATAATTCACATCCCTTCTATGAAATCTTATCAACCTGCAGCACTTACTAGAAGTTGTATAACCCTCAATTCAATTCACATCCCTTCTATGAAATCTTATCAACCTGCAGCACTTACTAGAAGTTGTATAACCCTCAATTCAGTGATATTTGATGTAAGCCGACTGTCTAGTTCTCAGTTTTCTAGATACTTTTTTACTGCTATTTATAGACTATGTTTTTACCTCATGTATATATACATATGTATAAATGCATATGTATATATTATTTTTCATATATATATATATATATATATGCATATAAATGTCTGTGTATATATATACATATACATATGTATATATGCATATGCGTTTTTTTTTCTTATATATATATATATATGTATATGTGTGTGTTTGTTTTTGTGTGTGCAAAGAAGCATATGTGTATATGTATATTTCTTTATGTATAAACATGTATGTATATATATGTATATATACATAAATGTTTATATACATATTATCTTATTTATATATAAATATTTACATATAAATAAATTTATGTATATGGCTGTGTGCGTTCATGCGTATATATATATAATTTATTAACATGCTTTGTGAAATATTTTTCCTAAAATGTTTTTTTTTTACAGCTATGCCTCTTCATATCTATTCGTGAGTTATCGTTCAGTTTCTTTCATTTGCAGACGAACTCCCATCAAAGTGAAACGCCCAACAAAGAAAAACACCAGCAAGGAAAAATGGACGTAAGTTGTTCTGACTCGTTTTACGATTGTCGCCTTTGTGGTCAGATATAGATCTATAGAAATATGTAACTGCGTAGGTATATGGAACTACATGTAAACATAAATACATAACTTTGTCTTAAATGTTTCCTTCACAAGCGCATGATATAAGTTCACTTGGTGGTCTACTTCCAGAGTAATCCTGAGGCATCTTATGGACATGGCCAACTGCAGTCTGCAAGTTACGGGGAGTTTTGTAATCCGGTGACTGATCAAGAACCAGAAATGAGGTGCTTAGCTCCTACGACTTTAGAACCGGCAAGCCCTCAGCAAAAGTCCCATCCTCAACGCCCGTTACAATGCATGCCTCTACAGGAACCTGCACATGGATCCGACCAACAACATTTAACAAATTACCAGGCTCCTCTTGCTGTTCTTCAAAGTAATCTTGGCCGTAACGGCGCTAGAACAGAGCTGGTTGAGAGTGCCACTGATTTCACAGCTAATCCATCAAATCAGTATGATATGGAACTTTACAATATCATGTATCCGAAATTTAATGGCAGCTTTGATGAATTCCTTATTCAGCAGCCAGCAACTCAACCCAAAGGCCTAATAGACAATATTACATACGTTTCTGCATTGCCTGATTTTCAGCAGACTAAAGATAATGATGTAGAACAGCCATCAATTATACTTGTGGAGTATGAAGTATATGACCTGGTTCAAGTATGCAGCGAATCAGGCCCGCACCTAACAAATTGGGATGCAGACAAAGAGCAGCAAACATTCCAGCATACATATAAACTACCAGATGGAGAAATGGTCTTAATTGGTATGGATGAAAAAGACAGCCTGGTACAAATTTCTACAGTCTCTGATTTGTGGGTAAAGCTCGCAACCCCTGGTGAGAATCTTAAGCAATTCTTGCGTAAGAACTGGTCTAACATGTTGCATTATTTACCAGTTATTTACCAGTCAAAGCAATGTCGCTGGCAGGAAGAGGAACCCGATCCAAAGGATTTAAAGTTATGGTTCAAGGCTATCACGGAAAAGTACTGGACTGTAATGCTGGGGAAGACAGACAAGATCCCCACAAATGAAGAGGAAGGCATCATGTGGCAGAAAAAATTTATGGAAAGATGTGAAACAGTCAGGCCACGTGCCAGAGGAAGGCCTTATTAATTCTCAACCTCATGTAACCAGAAAAATGTAGTGTTTACTAGTGTATTTTAAATTGCTTGGTATAAGTAGTTCATCTTGCTTAAATATAATTTGCACTAATTTCTGTAATTCTAATTGTTTACTAATAATTTGATGATTTCAATCATTGCATGTAAAGAAAGGAATTCTTTTACTTATTTCTTATATCCAATTTAAGTGGCAAGCTATGTGTTAAAACTAAAAGGCGCCATTCAGTGTGGTATAGTTATTGTATTGGATTATAACGAACTTCGATATTGTATTATTGGCATATCAATTTATGTGATTGACTTTACATTTTGGCTATATAATATTCTTTCAGTTAATGAATAATGTAAATTCTCTAAAAGTTGTGACCTTTCCCTCACACTTATCTTAACTAATCGATACAAGTTTGAAATAGTTGATGCAAAAGAGGCAACAACATAGGTGGTTCTACAAGTGCTTTTCCACAAAGGAGTCAATTAGTAGACCTTGTGACCTGACCTGATTTCACCCATCCTTGACATCCCTGGCAGCAGCAGGCCAAGGGCAGGCTCACCCTCAAAATGGCCAAATAACCGTCCACATATTGAAATTCAAATTTGGGCGGATTTGTATTATTATTGTATTATGTATTAGTAAATGCGTCCTTTTAGAGTATGGTGGCTGCGGGCAGCTCAATCACTGTCAAAACATGTGCATAGGCCAATGATCTCTCTCTCCCTCTCACGCCCTTTCTCGCTCAGAACCGTCCATATTGCCAACTGCCTAAGAGGCTAAAGGCTTGAAGAGGAAAAGATGAAGTGCCTAAAGAATCAGTGGGAAAAAGGACATCAAAGCAGTGAGGCTAGGTGGCGAGTGGTCCTAAGGATAGGCCAAGAGTCTGCCAACCCACCACCACCCAAGCTGCCTCCCCCTACACTGCCGTCTCACCCACCACCACCCACCACCA